AGGATTGACGAAGTTAATGTCCGTGCCCTCCACCATTGAACTAAGTCAAACGATTCTGCCGTACTGTCGACTACTAAGCCTTCACTAAGGTACGCTATCAGCTCGTTGAAGCTGCGCTGCCGCTGTCACTGCCACGAGAGAGATTGAGAGAAATTGAGAGGGATTGAGAGAGTTTGAGTGAGAAAAATGTGTTGGGGATGAGAGGTATTTATAGGGAAATTTTTGGGTTAAAAAATTGATTTTTTTCAAAAAAATCCAGGTGCAACGGCTATTTAGGGTTTCGGCGGGTCGGGTTCGGGCAGCAACAGTAAAAAAACTAGCCGTTGGACGGGTTTTCGGGCATGTCGGGCATTCAGGCAAAATTTGGATTTTCGTGCTTATTTTCAAGTCGGGCACCAACGGTCAAAATTTTGAACGTTTTTCGGGCATCAGGCGGTTCGGGCATTCAGGTAAATCGGGCTTGGCCGGAAAAATTTAAAAAAAAAACTCCGAAGAACGGCGGTTGACGGCGCCTACACGGCGGTGGGCTCCGGCGTGGTGATAAAATTTGGGCTGCCCGAGCTCGAGCCTGAATTTACAACTTCGGACGGGCCGGCATATGGGCCTCCTCGCCGAGCCTGAAAAATTCGGGCCTCGGGCCTGCCCGCCGCCCCAAAGTTCCACCACTACATATAACAATTATGTTTTCTCTCAACAAAAAAGAAAAAAAAAAGAAAAAAATCCTTTCCATTCTTATTTTTCTAATAAAAGGATAATCAGTACTTGATCAACGTATTTAACTTAACAATTTGAACATGTTTGTAAGTTTTCAAAAAAAAAAAAGAAGAAAAATCCTTTCCATTCTTATTTTTCTAATATAAGGATAATCAGTACTTGATCAACATATTTAACTTAACAATTTGAACATGTTTGTGAGTTTTCAAAAAAAAAAAAAAGAAGAAAAATCCTTTCCATTCTTATTTTTCTAATAAAAGGATAATCAGTACTTGATCAACATATTTAACTTACTTAACAATTTGCACATGTTTGTGATTTTTCAAAAAAAAAAAAGAAAAAAAAGAGTTTGTGAGTTGACTTAATAACTGCCCACGTGACTATTCAATGACTTTCTTCATTAGAAGGCAACAAACACAATCCCTATAAGAGTGTTGCATACACTATGAGCAGTGCTAGATTTTAGGAATATAAGGACTTGTTTAGTTTGTTGATTTAAATTTTTAATTTGAATTGAAATATAATTTTATATGAGAGCTTTTTATTATAATAAAAAAGTTAAATATAATTATTTTTAAGAGTTTTTTACTGTAACAAAACTCGAATTCTAAACTCAAATCAATAAAATGAACCGAGCCTTCCTAACTCAAAATCACGAATTTCAAACCACATTCGCATACAAGCCCAAGCCTAATTTTAAGTGGGTCTCATTTTTTTTAAGGAAATAATAGAAAATAGGTCAATATGAAAAGCTTAAGAAAGTATATAGACCAATTTTTAGTTATAGAAATTAATATGTCATAACTTGTCAAGTTATGGTTCATAACCAGATAAGTTGTGGACAAACTTGTCAAGTTATGGTTCATAGCCAGACAAGTTATGAACAATTATGGACAATAACTTGTCAAGTTATGGTTCATAACCAGACAAGTTATGGACGAAAACAGTAATTTGGCCTATTTATTAACTTATGTAAACTATTAGCCTATTAATTTTAATTCATCTCAAGTCTTAGCCTATTTCTCTCTTTCTCCCTTTTTTTTATTTGAATGTTAAGCCCACATTTCTTCATTACGTTAAGTAATTATAATTCCCAGTTGCCAATAATTTTTTGTACAGGAGCCTTTGTAGATGGAAAGACTTCACCAAAAAATTTTCCAAAGCAAATGAGCTTAATTAGTCAATGAGTTTGTCATCTGACATGTTCAAAATCCTCATTAGTATCCTCTTCTTCAAAAGACATATTATTGACATCGTCTCTACTCATATTTATTTCCATATCATATTCTGAAAACTTAGTATAAACACTAATGAGATGTAACCAATAAAATTTGGATTTGAACCTGACCAAAAAGGAAACTAACAAAGTTGACTTTTCAAGTTTTATTTATTTAATTAATTCGGAACGAAGATTTTAAGTATGATCTCAAGGAGATCATGTGTTCGGTTGATTTTTTTTGTGTTTTTGGGTTTTTGGTGATGTTAAATAACTATATTATATTAATGTATTCATATTATCTTTATGGTTATTTATCTTTTTTTTTCATTAAGTAATCAAATTTGAAGAGATTTACATTGATACTTCTCATCCTTTTTCCACTCTTTGATATAGTTTTTGTTGTCATTGGAGTTTTTTGATCTCTTTTGCATATTAAGATTCTTTCTACTTCCCCTCAAAAGCCTTCTCAAGCCACGCAAGCCAAGGATATTCCTCTCCACCTGCAAAAACCGTTCACAGTTTTATCTGGAAAGGAATCTCTCTCTCTCTCCCCTCCTCTCCATCTCTTCGTTTGTTAAAATTTAAAGCTCCGTTCATTTCACCGATTCAAGTTTAGAATTCGAGTTTTGCTATAGTAAAAGGCTCACAGAAATAGTCACATCTTACTTTTTTGTTACAGTAAAAAACTCTCACATAAAATCACATCTCAACTCGAATTAAAAATTCGAATAAGAGAACTAAACAGACCTTAAGTATCGTGTTAATATTAAAAGCATATAACATCTGAATATAAAATCCGATAAAGGAACCAAAAAGAACAAAAATAAAATTTTAGGGCAAGAAGCTAAAAAAGGATAGCAGAGAGTAAAATGAAAAAATAAATAAGTTTTATGGCAAAAAGGACTAAAATGAAAAAAATAAAGTTTCAGGGAAAAAATTTTAAAATGGTTTAAAAATGATCAAAATGTAGAAATAAATGAGTTTTAAAGCAAAATGAACCAAAACAGGAAAAAATTAAAATTTTAGGGAAAAATGAAAAAGGCCAAAAAAGAAATAAACAAGCTTCAAGGCAAAATGGACCAAAATGAAAAAAGATAAGGGTAAAAATGAAAGAGAAAGGCCAAAAAAGAACTAAAATAAAAAGATAAATAAATTTTAAGGCAAAAGGATCTAGAAAGAAAAATTAGACCTAAAATAAAAAAGAGCAGGGACTAAATGAATAAATAAATAAGTTTTAAAGTTGGGCTATGTATTCGTAAACCTCCCATCAGGTTTAGAAATAGTAGAAAAGAATGATTTCTTATATATTAAGGCCCCGCTGATTCGAATTTAGAATTTGAGTTTTGTTACAGTAAAAAACTATCAGAAACAATCACATCTAACTTTTTTACTATAGTAAAAAGTTATCACACAACATCACATCTCAACTCAAATTAAAAACTCGAAATAGCAAACTGAACTGGCCCTAAAGATTCCACCATGCATGACAAAGAAGCAGTATTTGAAATCAACCATGTGAAATGCTAAAAACCACGGTACGTATAGCATGTGAAGAAAGCCCATTAGCAGCCTCTTGGAAGAGATGAGAAATTCTGAACGTTACGTTTCAATGCCTTCCATACTCGGTTTTTGTTTGAGTTACAGTTAGGGTTCTAAATATTCTAAGATATTTGTTTTAATTTCATTTACAAACTGTCCCTACTTTACTCTAACCTCATCCATATGTTTTTAAGTATAGTAACCAATTGAACTGAGTAATTCAAATTGTATTAATATCATAGTATATAATATATCACGTGTTTTACGTGTATAAAAGTCTTTGTGTTTGGTGAGGTTTTTATAACAAGTCTTGTCACAGAACGATTAATACCTCATAAATGTACAAAAACAAATTAATACAGACATATATAGATGTACAAAAACAACTGTTGTGCGAAACTCCTTGCTTTTAGTTTGTCGATTGATTAACTTGGGATTGATGGCGTTTTTTTGCTGTGCCTTTCTACGCGAGTTCAGGCTGCTCTTAGTTTCCAACTACATCAAGTGAGGTATGTATGCATAATGTATGTATGTGGCATATATAATTAATTTTTGTTAGATTTCTATATCCAAATCAAATATAAGATAATTCAACGCTTTGAACGTTTTTATTTACTTTTCTTCTTAAATTTTCAGTTGGGGTACATATATGGTACGTCATCAAGAAGCTTGGCCATTTGCACTTTATTTGATGAGAGGGAAAGAAAGAACGTAAAGAAAAAGAGTTTTTCCTTTATCCCAGTTACATCATAAAACTTTCTAGCAGATGCATCAACAATTTTGAAAAAAAAGGATCACAATTTATCAAGTACAAACTTATCCATAGGACCACAATTTACTATTAGGATACGGCAAATTAAGCATTAAAACACTTTTTTTTTATAAAAAAACATAGTTTCTTCAAAAAATATCACATCTAACTTTTTCTGCTAAAGTTAAAAGCTCTCAGAAAATGTCAATCTCAACTCGAATTGAAAACTTAAATTTGCGAAGTGAATTAGGCCTCAAGGTGTTGTTACATCGCTCATTTTAACATTGATCATTGTATGTATATGACATTTAACACCAGTTCCAAACCGTCGTCCAATGTGCTCATTTAGGTGTGCAGAGGCTGGGTATAAGAACATCTAAATTCTAATAACAAGTTTATGGAAAATCATTGTCTATTGTCATCTTTTAGATCCCATTTCTTAATTTCGCCTGACATTACCATTGATTTTTGAAAAAAAAAAAAAAACTATCTTACAAAATTTAACAATAATCTTAACAAAATAGAAAAATTACGACTATAATTTCATTTACAAACTGTCCCTACTTTCCTCTAACCTCATCCATATGTTTTTAATTATAGTAACCAATTGAACTGAATAATTCAAATTGTATTAATATCATAGTATATAATATATCACGTGTATTAAGGCTTGGTCTTTGGTGAGATTTTTATTATAAGTCTTGGTCTTTGGTGAGGTTTTTATTACAAGTCTTCGTGTGTGGTGAGGTTTCTATAACATGTCTTGGTCTTTGGTGAGCATATTTTTTGGTGGAAAGAGTATGGCCACAGAACTACGTACTAATATCTCATAAATGTACAAAAACAAATACACACACATATATAGATGTACAAAAACAAGTGTTTTGCGAAACTCCTTGCTTTTAGTTTGTCGATTGATTAACTTGGGATTGATAGCGTTTTTGCTGTGTCTTTCTACGCGGGTTCAGGTTGCTCTGCTCTTAGTTTCCAAGTACATCAAGTAAGGTATGTATGCATGTATGTGGCATATATAATTAATTTTTGTTAGATTTCTATATCCAAATCAAATATAATTATAATAAAAGCCATACATAATTTCTTAGATGTCTTATAATTAATTTTTCCTAAAGAGTTGGACAACATAATTTTTGTTTTGAAGGTATGTGAAGCATCTGATGCTATTATAATGAATCTCACAACCCCACTGACCAGACTCCCTCACAAAGATGTAGGAAAAAACAATGCATAAAATGAATAAATAAGAAAATAAATTGTTTTTAATTCTTATTTTATTTTCTGAAATCTATTCTTAGAATACAATTGCCGAACAATATTTGTTTTATGAGATTAAGGCTGCGTTTGGGAGTAATTTTTGGAGCCAAGAATCACTTTTCTAGCTAACTATAGTTGATTTTAGTATTCGGTAAAAATTATAAAAAGTGTTTTTTAAAGAATTTTTGAAAAATCTACAGTCAAAATCAGAAACAGACCAAAAATAACTTTAACTTTTAAATTGTGTGAAAATCAGGCTAATACACCCCTGGTGAATTCTAAAATTTCCAATCTTTCAAATCTAAAATTCAGACTCATAATATAATATAATATAATAATATTATAACAAATAATGTCATAATTATATTAATAACTCTAATATTATTATTTTATCATATAATATGATATTAATAATATAATATAGTTGTAATTTTTAATTATATTATAACTGAAATATTACTATTGGTCACCGAATCGAATTTTGATGTGAAAGCGTGGGGGTAGCGGATTGTGTATAACAAAAATTTTCATAAAACCTTTGAGATACTCTATAGATTATATTAATTTATGCATGAATAAATTGATCAAATTAATTTATTAATTAAGAACACGAATAGGAATTATACCTAGCGACTGATTAGAATGATAACTTGAGTTCTTTGACCTCGAACAATCCTCACTCCAATGCTTTGTTTAGAAAACCCAAGCCTTCCTCGTCAATTCCTTGAATCTACGAAGACGTGTGTGTGGGCACACCTGAAACAAAACGGGTTAACAAAAACACTCAAGAATTTCCATGAACACCAATGCATGCAAGACATGGAATTTTTGGAGAAAATTTTTCCTCTCACAACACTTGTGAAATCGGCCATTCTATAAAATTAGGAGCAAAAATTGTGTCAAAAATTGTATCTCATAATTTTCTACTATCTCTTTATTTATAGAATAGTAGTTAGATTCTTAAAAGAAGTCTCATATTTATCTCCAAGATAAAGCTTATTAATTATCTCACATTTGAATTTGGAACAAATTTTACTTTCCTTTATCCACTAATGACTGGCCATAATGGGATTCTTATCCCTGTGGTAGCCGCCAATATCAGATAGGGAAGGAAAAGAAAATCATCATTTATCCTGCAGTCCAATTTTGACTCAAATTTAAATTCCAATTTAAGTCAAACTTAAATTAATTTGAATTCTAAATTGATCAACTTATCTAGATGTGTTCTAGATGTGTTCACACCATGTGTTCACACTGTGTGTTCACATTGTGCCTTGCGTTCACACTATGTGAACACCTTCACATAAGTGATCCAAAATTTAAATTTAAATTTAAATAATCACATTATTTAAATAATAATTAATTCTTAATTAATTATCTTTGAGTGTTTAATTTTAGAATTAAGTAATTTTAAAATTCTCATTTTGCCCTTAGTGTCTTGTAGAATTACAAGGACGACGTGGGGAATCATGAGCCTATAATTTCGAGCTCTAATAAATTTAATAATTAATTAAACACTTTAATTAATTAATTAATCTTATTAATTCTAATAGTTACTCCACTATAAACTTGGAATTGCACTCTCGTAATTATACATATAAATTACTTCTAAACCGTGAAGTATACATGTGATGTAGTCACTGCATATAGATCAATCCTCCATAAATAATTCATAATTAGAGCTAGGTGAAATCCGTTAACCTCTCTATTTACATCTTTATCCTTGAGAGTACCATTGATTCTCTAATAGACAGTGATTCATAAAACACATTCATGAATCGGAGCTCATACTGGTCCAAGTACCCTCAAGAGAATTATTTATCTACTTCTTTCTCAAGAAGGAATGGATTCCATCTCGTATAATAACATTCTCAGCTACATACTTTATCATGTCCCCAAAATACAAGGAATAGGATTCAAGATCTCAGAATTTGTACTGAGTAAATCAAAAGGCACAAATCCATAAATAGGAGTCTGTTAAGAACTCATGAAGATTATTCTATATATGACCATCGGTAGACTTAATTAGAATTTCTATACTTAACGAAAATTATCAGAAATTCATATTGTGTCTGTGTCCTTGTTCCACATAATCTCATTATGCGAAATACACTCATTCAATATCCCGCCATATTAACAGTGCGGATAACACCGTTTCACTTTAAATGAGAATGACATGTATTAATAATGTTTTAATTAAAGATTCTGAACTTTAAGCAAATTCATCATGAACACCATTTTGATTATTATCCTTAAACATTATCCTCTTGTATATAACGTTTAAGATCACATAAATATTCATAGAATTTTTATTGATATTCATAAATATATACACATAAAAAAATAAATAAACTCTTTTATTAAATAAATAATAAATATCCTATTACATCTCATGCTTCTAGAACACTACTCCCAACAACTATTTTTTATATAATATTATAATATGTTTTATAATAGTGTAATTATATTAACTATTTTAATAATATTATTATATTTTATGTCATAATTATATAATATATTATTTAATAATTGTTTTATTGTATTATATTAAATATAAAAATAAATATACATTGTATTATAATTATATATATTATATTAAATATAATAATAAATATATATTATATTGTAATTACATATATTATATTATACTACAATATAATATTATAATATAGTTGTAACTTTTAATTATATTATAACTGAAATATTATAATCTATTTTGATCATCTTAATTACCCACAGTGATTCAACTTCACAATTTATTAAATATTATTATATTGCTTTTGAAATCAACAACACTTATATAAATACAGTTTACCAAATACTCAACTGCTTTTTGTAATAGTTGTTTTTTTCTTCAATATAGCTAAAAATATTTTTTTTTACAAAATTTAGAGCACTATTAAACTGGCCCTAACTCAGAGTAGAACTTGTTCTTGTTTTTGAAAACACGATTTTGAGAATAGAAAACAAAAAATATGGACGGACAGACCAAAATTAAAAAAAGGAATGATGAAACTCAAATTAAGGAACAAATCAACAAACACAAATGGTTCTGATATATCCATCCCCAGGCAAAAGTTATTACCAACTCTTCTTCCTAACTTTGAAGCCAACAAATTGCGAGATCTCACATATCACAAGAAACTCACAGATTTCCTCTGTTTTCTTTGGTGTACAAGGCAAAGTTACAGTTAATATTATATGAAGATTTCAGTACTTCTATCAACACCTATATAAAGAGTTCACAATAAATCTATTATGATACATGATTGGCTACTCGATCATCTGCTAGACTAGATTACCAACTCTAAAAGTACAACTCACTTGCCCTTTTTTCAATCCACTACTTAGTTACCATCTAGACTCATGATCAAACCAACCACTAGATTTGACAATCAGTTTGATTCATAGTTGTTGTGTTAAACAGATTTAAAATAAAATATGAATAACAGAAACATTTAAAAGATAAGAAGATTTAAGGTGGTTCGGCTTTTGGTTTACTTTCACGCACAAAAAAGGCAAAAAATTTCACTATAATTAAAAAGTGATTATAAAAACTTGTCAAATATCTTTCATTATCCAAATTCTAAATACACTCAAAATCTCTCAACTTAAAAATAAGAACACTAAATATCAAAGAATTAAATTATCTAATCAAAACAAAAGAGAAAAAAATGTATATTAATAGAATAACACTCTGCGGCTACTATATACTTCACGTTCACATATAGCATATATATATATATATATATATGCTTTCCAAATAACCCAGCCGAAACCAATTAGGAGTCAAATTGGAGATATGTGAATTATAAAATAATAATAATAAATTTGGAGGTATGTGCGTCTCCAACAAAGTCGGGAGCACCTAATGCTAATAGAAGAGACATGGGTTTTAGCTCAAACAAAAACAAAGCTAATATGGGCTTAATTAAAGTGACGACCCAAACCATCTCCACAGGAAAATTAAGTTAAATCTAAATAATGAAACTCTTTTGTCATCACCTCTGAAACTCCGTAGGGCTAATCACAATTTGCAACACTAAATTAGTTCAAGGGACGCATGAACTTCTAAGTAGTTATTAATTTAATCACCGTACTTGTTGCAACTGATTTAACACGAACTAAATTGTCAAGCTCCACATGCTAGATACCGAAATCTTTATCTGCAACTATTAATTCTCTTTCTTCAAATAGAACAGAATAGTCATCAAAATCACTGACTTTGTTAATTACCAATCTTAGTGACTTTGGCCTAACAAACCACAACCAATAACTGTTCACCACAAATACAAATCTTAAGAATAGCCATATTGTTGTCCTTTGCTCAAGCTTACCACCACTCACATGAGCCCATGCAGAACAACTAAAAAATTCCAAAACAAAATCAAAAGAGCAACCAAGCCATACCTCAAATGGAGTCTTCGATCCAAATGCAGTTAATGGAAATCTAACCTAATAACATGTTGCAAAACCAAACTTAGAAAGCAAACAGCAAGCTTACCCCAAGAGAGTTGAATTCATATCATCTACAACTAACAACTGTTGTGGAATATCCCAAATAGTACAATGTCTCACTATTTTTTTTTTATTACAGAACCTATTCAAATAACTCTCACCAAATTGCACACCATCATAGTCATTAACAAACGTCAAAACTAACATCCACATATCAACACATGATTTGGACGCAAATACCATGAACAAGTGATTCTAAAATCTTCTGACATATGAAGAGTTTACAAAAACTGTTTCAGATAGAACCGATTGGTGAGAGACATAGTCATATACAGACTTTTAAGCTTATTCTTCCCGTCGAATTTTGTAATTCCATATTTTGTCATCATTGCGGATGCTAAAAATCTAAAATAATTTGACTGAACAAACTAAGCTCTGATATCAGTTGTTGTACCAAACGTCAAATTAAATAGATTTAAGACAAAATATAAATAATAGAAAAATCTAAGAGACACGAGGATTTAATATGGTTCAGTTTTTAGCCTACGTCCATGATCAGAAACAGTGAAAAAATTCTACTATAACTAAAATGTGATTATAAAAGTTTGTCAAATATCTCTCGCCACTCAAATTTCAAATGCACTCAAAATCTTAATCCAAAAGGCAAGAATACCAAATATCAAAAAATTGAATTCTCTGACCAAATTTCACCGAAAGGAAATGAAAGAGAGAAAACCGTATATTAATAGAATAACACTCCGCGACTACTATATACTTCACGTTCACATATAGCATATGTATATATATATATATATGTGTGTGTGTGTGTGTGTGTGTGCGCGCGCGCGCTTTCCAAAGAAGCCAACCGAAACCAGTTAGGAGTCAACTTGGAGATAACAAAGTCGGCAGCACCTAATGCTAATGGGAGAGAGATGGGCCTTAGGCCCGAACCAAAAACAAAGCTAATATGGGCTTAATAAAAGCCACAACCCAAACAAGAATAGAAAATTTACCCATCATCTCGACCTTTATCTCTTAATAAATAGCCTCTTGTTAGTATAATTATTTACTTAAAAAAGTTATAAATTAAAAATAAAAGATAAAAATCTTGATTCATGTATTTTAAGGGGTATTTGTGAAGATTATCCATCCAAATCACGTGTATTAATATCATAGTATATAATATATCACGTGTTTCACTCAAGGATTACACCCTATTACGCATTCGTGAAATCAATTATTACTCCTTGAAAAAGGATCATAGTTACATGAGCTTTCAAAATGTGCATTAATAAAGAAAATTTATTGCCAAAAATCGTGGTTAAATTGTGATTTAAAGTTGTGAATTTCCCTCGCCTTACAGTTAGTTATCTTTAAATTCAATCATGCAATAGTTTCCTTACTACCTCTACTTACAATTCTCTCTCTCTCTCTCTCATCATAAGAAATAATGGTCTTGGTATTTGGTGAGATTTTTATAACAAGTCTTGGTCTTTGTTGAGGTTTTTATATTATCAAATATATATATATATATATATATATATATTGGAGATATGTGCTTCTCCAACAAAGTCGGCAGCACCTAAGTAATGCTAATTGGAGAGACATGGGCCTTAGGCCCAAGTTAAAAACTAAAATAATTTGGGCTTAATTAAAGCCACAACACAATCAAGGAAAAAAGGGTCTCATTTAGCGTTACTTTTGATAAATAATCTTTTTATTAGTATAATTATTTCACTTAAAAGGAATAAATGGTAATAATTTTGACCCATATATTTTTAAAGGGTATTTATTAAGATTACTTAGCCAACAATAATCTATACTCAAGTCATAAAGTAGATTTTGTTATTGATCATTCGTTAGTAATTTTTCCATCCATTTTAAATCTTGGCTAATTAAATAGATTTTTGTAATTTTTTTATGAGTACTTATGTGCTGTTTTTGGTGGAGTAATTTGTGTTTCTTCATGCACAGTTAATCTTAAATGTACGAATTATGTTGACCAATGAACCTTCATTTAAATAATTTGACGTTGATAAGTTTGTTTTAGTGTGAGCAACCGGGTTTTACAAGAATGGTTCCTGTATCTTTGCCTGAAGATCAAAACAACGACAATGCTAGTTCGTCTCAGCAGTTGGAAACGACATTGTCCGTCATCACTGGCATGGAGTCTACTCTTTACAGGGCTGCAGCAAAAGGAAAAATTGATGCCTTGGAGGAACAGGGTCATCTTGACCAATTATTGACTCCAAATAGGAATACAGTACTCCATATTCATATCACTGCTGCCAAATCGGATGATGAAACCGAATTTGTGCAAGAGATTCTTGAAATTTGCCCACCATTGTTGCTCCAAACCAACGTCAAAGGAGAGACTCCACTGCACCTAGCAGCAAGGTATGGCCATGAACGTATAGTGAAATTACTCATTCGGCAGGCAAAAACAGATCACGAAGATCATGAGCGCTTTCAGCAGATGCTGAGGATGACAAACAAAGAAAAGGACACCGCATTGCACGAGGCTGTGCGCTTTGGGCATCGTAAAGTTGTGAGTATATTGACAAAAGAAGACCCTAATTTCTCATATTCAGGTAATGAAGCCGGTGAGACACCGCTTTACATGGCTGCCAAGAGAGGATACGATGCCATATTAAATGACATATTACATAACTGCTCATCACCAGCCACAAGCGGTCCCAATAAAAGAACTGTGCTGCATGCGGTATCAATAGCTAAAAATAAAGGTGAGCATTTTTTTTTTTTTTTAACTTTTGCAGTTGGATCCTATTTTGAAACTTTAGACAATTTAACAATTGGGTACCCAGAATATGCTTGAGTTCCCAATTTAAATTTGAGAGAAAAAATAAATTTAATTTTGCATCAACTTCACACTCTTTTTACCTCCCAAAAATACTTTATTGATACTTAAATTCATTAAATCAAGGTATTTTCGCATGAGATCCCCTGAGCTTTTCGTACTTGGCAGATTGGTCCCTAAGGGCATTTGTTGTTTTAGAGTTTGGACTTTTGTTGTTACATAAATTTCTTTTTTAATTTTATACGTATTTTTGAACATGAAATAAAGTGGATAATAAATTAAGAGTGAAGGTTTAATAAGTAGGAGAAAATTAATGTACGATATTTTATATTTATAGCCATTTGGTAAGATATAGCGAAACATTTGTGATATGGAAGTTTGAGGGTCCAGTTGTACGAAATTTAAAAAATGGGACCTAAATTCTAAAAGTTAAAAAGTTTTGGAGACCTAAATGCTAAAAAAGCCCATTGTTTTTATTATTATTATTATTATTATTATTATTATTATTATTATTATTATTATTATTATAATATAGGTAGTATTATTTTCAGAAGTACTGTCAAATACAGTGTTTACGATTTCTTCAGAAATGACAGAAAAAGTTTTAAGCAAGTTCAAAGATCTCGCCAAACAAGAAGATGACAACGGAAGAATTCCGCTACATTACGCTGCAGAACTCAACTGTGAGGATGTTGTAATGCTACTATTAGAACATGATAAATTCACGGCCTACATAAAAGACAAAGATGGTATGACGGCACTTCATATTGCAGCTTCCAAAGGCCATCACATAGTAATGAAGGAAATAATATCATTATGTCCAGATTGCTGTGAACTGGTTGACAACAGAGGTTGGAATGTTCTACACTTTGCTGTGCAAGGGGGTGACATGGACGCAGTTAGAGTCATCGTCGACGATTATTCACTCAGTAATTTAATAAATGAAAAGGATGTTGATGGTAATACGCCTTTCCTGCTCAATGCTACTTCATTTACTTATAGTTCCTACCTCGCTAATTGCCCCAGAGTGGATAAGGACGCATTCAACAAACAAAATCAGAATGCTCTTGACATTGTCTCCAGAAGCAATGAAGCTGATATAAACAAGGTAAGGCAGAGGCTGGCTATCACTCAAGTTTTAGTTTCCAATTGTATTATCTTCTGCTTTTACATACTAGGCAGCATTGATCTAACACTATACTATTACATGTGCAGAATCGTTGTAAAAGGAAATTCAGAAGTAAAGGCATAAGGTCCAATCTCCGAATAGCGCGTATCCACACACAAAATTCCGTTGGGGAAGAAGACGATGAATATCTTTCTAACATAGAGAAACTTTCACAAGCTCAACTAATAGCGGCTACACTCATTGCCACAGTCACATTTGCAGCGGGTTTTACGTTACCTGGGGGTTATGTTAGCGATGAAGGGCCACTGCAGGGGTCGGCAATTCTAAGGGAAGTTACAGCATTCAAGGCGTTCATGATAACAGACACCATAGCCATGGTGCTGTCCATTGCTTCTGTTTTTACCAACCTCTTCGTGGTGTCACACGGGGATAAGTCCATGAGGCTGTCGCTCGCTATGTTATCATTATGTCTGACGATGTTGTCCATGGGAGCAATGGTGATTGCATTTGTCACTGGTACCTACGCGGTGTTGGCACATTCCACTCCACTTGCAACTGCCACTGCTGTCATTGGACTATCTTTCTTCATTTTCTTTTACATCGTATTTAAAAAATTGATTGCCCAATTCAGAGAGCAAGTGTGATGCTCTATGCAGATATCAAACTGTTAACGACAAAGTAAGACAAAGTTGTGCTTGTCCTATACGTACTTCATTGTAATTCCTATTTAATTTAAATCAACGATGAGTTTGTGTTGTGTGGCCACTCTGGACGTGGATGAGTAAGGAGTATATTTCAAGAGCATCATATCAAAAAATGAATATTTACCTGATATTAGAAAACGTGTGATGGTAGGTAGATACTAGGGAACCAGTTCTATGTCCCCCCTTATATGTCCCTATTTTCTGCTCCCCAATTAAATTGTGTCTTCTCAATTAAGAATTTCAACTCATTTAAATGACACAATTCACTATTATTATTCTACATTACTGCTGTGAGTGTGCTTCCGTTAACATCCTTTTCTTTTTTCTTTTTTTTTTACCCTTCCGTTTCATACTCGGTGACCTCCCTCTCTCTCATTTCATAAAGGCAATTTCAGGGTTAAAAAAAATAGAGTTAAATTCATCATAAGTCCCTGAGCTTTTTCATCTTTCTTCTTCTGTTAGTGCCTATACTAAAAAGTGTACTAACTTAAACTTTAAACTTTTTTAATGTCTCAAATTTAATCCTTCAGTCACATTCCGTTAAATTTTGGATGGAAAAAATGGATAATCATGTAATTTCATCTAAGAAAATAACACTTTGGAAATTTTGCCTTTGCACCTCTAATTATTATCACAATACGTCTATTATCCTCAATCACAAAAACAATTCCAACATGCGATTATTGCACGCCCCAAGGCCCAAGATCAAGGGGTGCTGCTAGTTTTAGTTTTGCATGTTTGATTTGAAATAACAATATCATCAGTTGAGTACAAAATCAACGAAATTACGTGAATATACTAATCAATTCTCACAGTTAACATATATATATATATATATTATGGTATTCAATCATAGAATATATGTAACATTCAATTTAAGGATAACTTTTACATAACTAGTAGTTGTTTAAGCCAATATAGAACAGGTACAGAGTGTTTTTTTCATAGAAAAAATTATGTAAAGAGAAAATATAAAGATAAAAAAAAAAAAGACGAGAACTCATCAAAAGAATTTGTGAGAGAGATAAAGTTACATTTCATGGTAGCCATGGATTCAAGTGAAATGAATTAAAAAAAAATTAATGGGATAAAATTGAAAAGAAAAATAAAATAATGCATAAAAATAGAAATTTGAAAAAATATAGTAGGAGCAAATGCCCCTACTAGTCGCTTAATTGGTGCATCAGTCATTGTGATTATTGACAGGTTTTTTTAATTTTTTTGGTTTGGAGGAAAAGTTGATTATGGACAGATTTAACTGTTTATCATTGATGAATTTAAGTGGAAGAACTCTTTCTATGTTTCGTATTGGACTTCTAATGTCCCTTTTTAAAAGAAATGGTGGTCAACAACATTTACTCATTTGTTTATAGCTTACTACTAATATGTTAACATTTTTCGTCCAAAATTTAATGAAATTAAACTGAAGGATTAAATTTGAGATGCTTAAAGAGTTCAAATTTAAAATAGAATAATTTTCCGTACAGGAGAAGAAAGTTCAAGGATGTTTGATGAATTTAACTTAAAAATGTATGTTTTTCATCTTATACGCCGCTGCAAACTCTTGGACTTACTTTTTGTCGCCATTCAAGCACTAAATTCACTTTGCAGGTAATTTTAATTGGAAAACGGCAATCATTCGTCATCCCTATTTTGTATTATTTTGTAAAGGAGTTGAATACGTATACAATTAGGAATATATCTCATATCGTTTGCGAATTATATTTTTTTCATGTCAATTTGAACTTCTAATTTCCAATTTTATTTTACAAATATGTAGTACATCTGTTTAGTATGCATGTTATAGTTAATGAATTACTATTTTTCACGTGAATTTCTACTTTTAATTTCCCATTTTATTTTATAAAAAATATAATTAATACGTTTATTTTTGTATGCAAATGAATTGATAATTAATATATTGCTCACAATAGAATTTGTTACATTTTATTGTAGATCATGGAAAACCATGACTTTTCAGAGGAAGTACTTCATAGCCCGTTTAGTTCGCTAATTTGAATTTTTAATTTGAGTTAAGATGTGACTTTATGTAAGAGCTTTTTACTGTAACAAAAAAGTTAGATGTGATTGTTTGTGAGAGCTTTTTACTATAACAAAACTCGAATGAGTTTAAAATTTGAAGGCAAATTAGTTGGATTTTGGAGATGAAGAAAAGTTTGAAGGCAAAAATGCTACGAATTGATTCTTTCAACGATTTGTGATGAGGCGATTCTAAAAACTGATATGGAGTTTAAAATAGAAGAGGAATCTTATAATTTTTACAATGTTTATGCTCTTAAGGTAGGCTTCAGTATTCGAAAAAGTAAAATAGAAGAGGAGGCTTATAATTTTTACAATTATTATGTTGTTTTAACGTAATCGGTGTGTTTGATGAGTTATTAAGTTTTTTTTAGTAATTTTATTTATGATTTATGATATGAACGGTTTAAGAGGCGAGCTCCCGAGAACCTCATTCATCGCGTCACCGTTAATATATTTAAAAAGATTAAGTAAAGCGTTCAAGTAAGTACACTCTCACCTGCAACATGAATTGAACAATTGAAAAGTATATGATTTCGACATTTATGATGATGTTATGACTCTTTTAATATTTCTCTTATGATGACGTTTTGAAGAGAAATGTATATATGTATTTTTTATGTTTTTAAATAGCATTGTATTGTACAACCTCGATAGTGACCGGTGAACAGTTTTTTATCCGGTGAGCAGATTTATTGTCACGGTTGGTATGAGATTTGCTATCCTATGCTCTCCATGACTAGCACGCTATGACATTACAACGCGATGCTCAATATATGATGGATTTTAAAGTTATAATATATTCAAAAATATCTATTTTCATGATGACGTTTATTGTTTTATGAATAAAAATGTTCATTTATGTTTGTGAGATTTAAGTATCTTACTAAGCTTTTGCTTGTATAAGTTAATTCATGTTGCGGGCCAATTCAAGGGTAAGATGTAGTCATAAAGAATTTTGGAGCGGATGCGAGCTATGCGTGATGAGAAAACTGGAGAAACGATTATGGAATGAAAGTGTTTGATTTTAAATAAAGTTTTAATTTTTATTTTTATTGTTTTGAAACTTTAGTTTATGGTGGTTTTTATTTGAAGAATACTTTAGACTTTTTAAGTTTATTTCACAGTATGGATTTTAATAATTATGTTGAACCTAACGGTTATTTTTCTTTAAAGAAGTTTAAAGTTTTTATTTGGTTAAAAAAAATTCTAGAATTTCACTAAGTCATTCATTTTGTTATGCAAAGTAAATTATTTCAAGCTTATCTATTTTCTGCATTTTTTAAGAAGTAAATATTTGAAAGTTAAAACAACTCTGGTGGTGAGAATATTGATAACAACAAAAAATAGGTTTTTATTTTATTTTATATTTCAAAATTGTTCCTAAGAATTATTATCAAAACATGTTTTATTTTCATGGAACAATTTAAAAAACAAAAACGAAAAAACTTAATTTTTTAAATTGCATGGTTGGACAAGACCCTATTTTTCTTCCTTTTGTTTTCCCGTTAAGTCCTTTTCTTGGATAATTTTATTCTCCAATTCTCGTTCTCTATCTGGTTTATTTCTGTTACCCTTAACTATTTATTACTCAAGTCCACGTAAGCAAAGACAAAGAATATTTTTCTTCAAAAAAGGAAAAAAGAAACAACAAAAAGACTATTTTCGCTGACAAATCCATTTTTAACTATAAGTAACATATAGGCAATAGTTATTCTAAATTATTATAATCTACAATCATATCAAAGTTGTAATTGCAACAGATCAAGAATGCATCTTTAGTTCCTTAGTAAAATAAAAATAACAATAACAATAACAACAATAATTCATCTTACTTCAATTTTTTCTCTAGTATTTAATCTTTTTAAGAACAATGATAAGCCCAAAATTTTCTTTTATTTTTTCAAAAAAGAAAAACATAACTTCTTTAATTTTAAATCAAATATCTTATGCAATTGCATTTTAATATCTCGTTATTTTTTTTTCTTTGATCTTTTGGCTAAATAGCTTTTGTTTAGAAAACCTTTGGGTAATCGACATCGGATATGACATATATTAATTAAACAAAAAAAAAATGTTAAGATAAAAAATTATGCTCCTTTTAACTAATTACGTCACATTATTTGATTAATTATAAAAATTCCACATAAATTATAATCTTTATTACACTTTATGCTCCGATTTTTAAAACATAACATTCCTGATTAACCAAAAAAAAAAAAAAAAAACCCCTCTTTAGGATTTTTAACAAAGATTAAACATGTCACGTAAACAATAGTTGTTGTACAATCTAATTACAAAACTAATATTTTAGGGAGATTTTTAAAAATACTCATTAAAATTGAGTCTTCTTTATTTCTATCCCTCAACATTAACCCATATAATTCTACCTTTTAGATTAGAATTAGTTTTTTTAAAAAGAATATTTTAATAAATTAATTACTTAAAGAGTTAAAATCTGTAATTTTCTCGTCGTTTCTGCAACATAGTCCGAAGAATGTAAAATAGCTTCTAGGTGTGAAAAGTGGGCGTTCACAGCATTGTCCACTAGAACGTAGCTTAAAATGCTTAATATTCCCCTAATATATTCTTTGTTTTTTCCCCTTCTTTTCCTTCGGTGAATCAGACTTTATGCATGTGTTGGTAGCAAAACGGCTTTGATTCCTCAAGCATTTTTTATTCTCCAAATCACTTTTTGCAATTCCAAGAGCTACTATAACAAAGAAATAACAGCAAAAGCACGCTAGAGATTACAAAAAAAAAAAAAAAAAAAAAAAAAAAAAAAAAAAAAAAAAAAAAAAGGGACAAAACTGAAGAAAATATCTAAAAATCTGAAAAGCTAAGACGGTGGTTTTTATCGTAGGTCATAACCAACAAAGATTTTTAGAGGAACAAATAACTTGGAGGGCTCAGTTCTATGCGATTCCCAGAATTCACAGCATAACAATTTGACTTTCAGAAAAACTTGGTTTTGAGAACCAATTGACTACATATAGACCTCGTTCATTTCACCGATTCGAGTTTTCAGTTTTAGATTTCTACAGTAAAAAGCACTCAGAAAATGTCACATCTAACTTTTTTCTGCTACAGTGAAAAGCTCTCATAAAATATCACATCTCAACTCAAATTGAAAATTCAAATCCGCAAAGTGAACGAGGCCATAGTATCCATAAGCGAATTCACGGCTAGCTTTATTCTGCAGTTTTATCATATACCACCATAAAAGCAAGTGAACTTAGAACGTAATCCAACAACTTAGAAAAGGAAAGTACTTCCATATTTCCGCTAAGAAGCATGTAGCCAAACTATTCTTTAGGAAAATAACCTTCTTTAAGATTCTTAACTGACATGGGTTTCCTCCTTCCTCAAGAGTACCAGTTCTCAACTCATAAAGCTTTCAAACTAAGGCTATGTTTTTGAAATAGGAACAACTAAGAGTCTAAGACAGATATGGGTTGTGTTTTTGTTATTTCTTTCGGCTGAGTTTAGTCAGTTTGGAAGTTAGTTAGAAGTTGCAAAGTGGCTGTGGTAGTTGGTTAGAGTACGAAAGGAGAATATAGAGAGGAAATGGGTAGTTCGTTGTAAAGCAGACAATTAGTTGGGTCGAGGTCCGCTTAGTGTGATAGGAGAGATCCAAGGCTCTTAGGTAATACTCCCTTGCCACATCACTATCTAGAATGACAACATCGTCACCTAGAAAAGCGTATCTCCGATAAGGAACTCTCCTTTTAGGGTTAGCCCTAAATGCCGCCCACCACACCACAAAGTGATGGGTGAGTGCAGAGAGGCTCCGGGAGAGGTAATACCCCAGAGGCTGACCTACAGCAAATTTAACATACTGATACTCTCGGGGGTCTGATATTGAACAGCGGCGGCAATGATAAACAGGCCACAACAGTTGCTGATTTCCTGTACCGTGTAAATCAGAAATTAGTCAGTAAAGAATTCTCATATTTTCTACAGTCTTTCTCCACTCTGCGGTGATATTTCCCAAAGATGAGGGTTCTTATCACTATGTTTGTTAAGCAGGAAAGAAACAGGAAGATGAGGAAAATGGAGTAAGGGCAGGACCCTTCTGATAATGTCTTCGTTATGGACTCTCTCCTCTAATCCCTCCATATTGACCTATTGGGATTTCAAATCCCTCACACAATCCGGTCCCCGTCTTTTCTACCATGCCAAACAAACATGGTTTCCAAAATCCTTCCATTGATCCCCACATCCCTCTCCCTCCTTGCAATTTTAGAGTTAGAGAGAAATTGCCCAATTTACTCCCTATGGTAAACTGAAAATCCAAAGCACCCAAAAACCAGTGAGTAGAAAAGTTGGTGCAGGGTTATTCTTACCAAGAAAACAGGACGTAGTCCTCAAAAAAAAAAAAAAAAAAAAAAAAAAAAAAAACCGAATCAAGCTCAGGTTAGACCCTTGAATGAACATTTCTAAGGTGTCACGCAGCTTCATCTGAAAATCTAATTAAGTTAAGACCGTCAATGCCCAGAAAACAAATCTAAAGTTTGTCATAAGTATTTTGATTTCACATGAAGCCATAGAACCCCCTGAATGCGCAGAGCTACAATGACTTTACCTAAATGCTAAAGATTAAACTAGATTCGGCATCTAATCATATCGCTATTCACACACTTATACAGATAGAAAATTTGACAACTGATTTAGACAGAATAGAGCTTCCAGCCATTGGGAGTAACCAAGTTAAGAATGTGGACAAGAATCTACACAAAATGGTCTCTTTAATAGAACAAGTAGCTCTAAAAGGGTTCAACTTCCAGCTACAAAGATGTATCTAGCACGAATGCATGAAGAACCAAAACAAAATGGCCCTAACAAGCCATGACAAGACAGTAACTCTAACGGCCTAAGATAGGAGCTAGGTGATTTTCCTTCTAGGCAATACAATTAAAGTAATCCAGTATAATTCTTCATACGACACCAACTTAGGGCTCGTTTGGCATTTGAAATTCAAATTTTTTGTGAGAGAAAAACACTGTAGCAGAATCAAAACCATGAGTTTAAACGTATCAAACAAACGGCCCCTTAATATCTGCTACCCAAGATCACCATCCTGCGCAGTGGAAAGACAGAAACGCGCTGACACAGACTAATATTTTATTTCAGACTTAAGGAATTCAACTACAATGTAACTTTTTTGAAAGCAAGTTTTTTACAAAATAATACCTAAATACATCTTTCCCAAGTCAATTCCCGCAATCCCAACAAATAGTGACTACAAGATACAGGTTATCGTGGTTCACAAACGTCAATGCCAAAACGTCGTCATTGCTCTTGTATCAACATAAAAGAAGTCTTCTTGACATGTTTCTCAAAATTAATACTTAAAAAGTCCTCCATTGAAATATCATTGAAATTCATATTTTCAAGACTTGGTGACCCAACACAAACAAATCAACCAAATAAATGGCATCCTCAAAACTTTACATAATACAACGGACACATCACGATTCAAATCCAACCCACCTAGTATTGGAGTTCCTTGACACAAGCTACAACATCCTTAAGTCCATCTATTTTGCACTAAATTTAACCAGGAGAAACTAACAAGGCTAAACCACGGTCATCACAAAGTTTTGGCAATAAATGCCGCATATTTCGATACACCTACTCATTTCTCTCCTAGGTTTTAGTATTTACTAGCACACAGACTTTCCTGCTCATAATCAGCAAGTAAAACGCTAAGCAAACTATTACCATCAAAATCCAATACATAGGCGTCACAAGTAACACAAAAATAACAAGAAAAAATCCAAATTCTTCCAAAAAAAAAAAAGAAAATGAAAATGGAACCCAAGTAAAAACCAAATAAATAAAATTGGCAAGTTTAACCTGTACAGCCATTTACATCTGATTTCTAACTACCACTAACTACCTCATCATCATCATTCAACCTTCAACTCAAATCATATCATATCATGTCATATCTCCATTTCAAAAAGGTGGAAGAGAAAATATAGTAAGAACTAAATAAATAACACATACCAAAAAAATTATTTAAAAAAAAAAGTCAAATCAAGTCAAATCCAAACTCAAATACCAACCCGGCATTCCCGGCGAGCTTCCCGGAGCCTGAGCTTGACGAAATTCCGACGCCGACATTGTCGCAAATAACCCTAAGCAACCTCCTCCTCAGCCTCCACCCGCCGGCCCGAAATCCGACCCTCGCCCAAACCCTAACATGAAAATTCACAGTTCCACGACCTCGGTCCTCGGAAATCCCCTTCACGACCCAATCCTCCACGTACGAGTTCTTCGCCGAGAAGGTTGCGTTGATGGCCATTCGATTCCGCTTCCCCTGATCGAACGGCGCGATGCGGGTTTCGGACAGGAAGGCCTTTTTGTAGGCGATGTCCGAGTTGATCTGGTCGTAGGCGATGGACATCTTCTTATTGGGATTGTAGACGGAAAATCCGACGGCCCAGTCGCCGGAGAGGGTTTGGGCGGAGGTGTTGAGGTTGGAGACAGAGACGGAGTCGACCCAGAACTTGGGGATGCGGGGGCGGAGGACGAGCCAGACGATGAAGACGACAGAGGCAGAGATTATGAAGAAGGCGATCATGGCGAAGATGAGACGGCGGAGGAAGGCGGCGCGGGAGGTGGCGGCCGCGGAGGAGTCGTAGGTGTAGGGGTAGGCGTAGTTGGGCGGCGGCGGCGGAGGATGCTGGGGATGGGGATGGGCGGGGTAAGGGTAGCCGTTGGGTTGGGTATAGGAGGATGGAGGAGGGGCTGGGTAGCCGGTGACGGGTCTGGAAGGATCCGCCATGGATGAAAGTGAAAAGCTTTGGGTTTGGGGGATTTTGGTTTTGAAGTGGAGTGAAGCGGTGGAGTTTTGAGTAGTGAGAGGAAACGGGGATTTCAAAGCAACAATTCTTTTTTTATTTTTTATTTTTTATTTTTTATTTTTTGATGGAGAGAGGTTGAGAGTGATCACTCGTCTTGTAGTTCCTTCTGAAGGCCGGTTTGGACGGCAAAGAATAAATAAAGGATAAATTTTATTTTTACCCCCCAAACTTTAATCACTTATCCATCTTGTCCTTAAATTTTAAAAGTTAGTCTGTACAACTTTAAAATGCTTATTCTGTTACCTTTTGTTCAATTAATGCTGATGTGACCCTAATTAAAGAATAAAAATTGATTTAAAAATTTAAATTTAAACTAAAACTCTAATTATCAATAAATTACTTCTAATATAAGATTAAAAAATTAAAAAAATTTCAAATTTTAATAGGAAAAAAAAACCCAAATCATAAAACCTAATGCTTACTTAAAATATCCATTCAGAAAATGATTAATTTCAAAAATTCCTTTCGAACTATAACTCTCGTAATATTTTGTCTCTTAAATTTTAAAACGTAACATCTGTTTCTTCCAAATTTTATTTCGTTAATAAGTTTTTCCCTTCTGTTATAATGAGTGACGGAATTCACCACGTGTCAGGCACGTGACCCATCTAAAGATGATATTATCATAAATTAACCTGCAACATGAACTGGTCACAATCAAACCCAAATAAAGAGCCTGCAAATAACGTTCATGGCCCTCTCCATCACCATTAAGCATCTCTATGCCTCTCTCCAACAAACTTTCTCTCTCTAACTCCTTTCTCCCTAAAGATTTAGGGCATGTTCTTTTGTCCAAAAAACTCAAAAAAAGACAACTTCAGTTCCAACTTTATTCAAGTTCACGTTCTTTTAAGTTTCAACTTTATTCAGCTTTACTCAACTTTATTCAAGTTACAACTTTAACTCAAGTTATAACTCAAATTCAACTCAAAAACTACACTCAAGTTACACTCTAAAAGAACAACCCCTTAGAATCAAACACGAAAAGAACAAAACTTGTCAAGAGAATCTAGAGGCCGAGAGTAAAACGTGTGGTTCTAGTTGTGGTGGTGGATGTCAGAGAATCCAGCCTCCATGTCGGCTAGGGAGGCTAGGCCGTTGTCTTCTTCGATGAAACAAGGTCTCCTTGTGCCTGCAATAGTGTCCATGTTCATTTTCTTTCTATGTGCTTTTTGCTCGGGAAAACGGTTCAAGGTTTGAGGGAAGAGAGAGATAGAGATGTGGAAGTGAAGGAGAGGGAGTGAGGAAACTTGGGGTAATGTGAATCCCAAGAAGGAAAATGAGGAACAAAATGAGGAAAAAAAAGAAAGAAAATGGGGGAACAAATATGGTGAATTTTTTCAATAAAATAAAGAATTATCTGATTATGAGGTATAAACGTAATTGCGTTTTCAATTCTCACTAAATAAATGACACTGACAATTCTGTCGCTCATTGTAACAGAATGGGAAAACTTGTTAACGGAACAAAATTTAGGGGAAACGGATGTTACGTTTTAAAATTTATGAGGCAAAGTGTTACAAGAGTCATAATTTATAGGAAATTTTTGAAATTAATCCTGCAGAAAATCATCGCCGCCGTGCCCAAATGGGTGTTGGAGGACACCGTCGAGTAGCACCCAAACACGTGCCCCCTGCCGCGCCAAAACAATTCCCATACGTCGTCGAGCAGCCCCGTCATCGCACCCAAATGCTGCCCCATAGATGCCGTCAACAGCTAACCCGCAAGCTCTGACCAGATCCAACTTTCGCTAAGAGGCATAAGAAGCATGGTGCCGCTGCCCTTAATTCCACCTGCCTTGTCCATGCTAGGAAGTAGGGACACTCAACGCTCTATATATCTCTCTTGTGATTTGATTTTTATATATTGATTGTTTTTCATCAAGTTTCATTGAACTATCTTCATATATCATGGGTGTGATGCAAGATTTTGTTAATCCATGGAGAAGCATTTTCCATCTCATATTCGCCTTTGTGTTTATATTTTGAGTTTTATTTTGTGTTTCTTCTTTTTTAGAACACCGATGTTCTTTATTTATCAACCGTCGGATCTGTATTAAATCTGATTAAAAGTCAAAGCAGATTGAAAAATAATATAAATCTGACGGTTGATAAATAAGAAACACCGGCGTTTTAAAAAAAAAGGAACACCAGATAAATTCTCTTATATTTTTTATTAAAAATTTTCTATAATTGAGACAACGTAAAATCAAAATTACACACTTGTTTTCGTTGTTCAAAATTGTTCTTTTTCTCCTTTGATGATCCAATTTAAAAGATTAAGGTTAAGGGCAATTTTTAAAAATTCGTTTGAAATGGAGTTTTTTATTTCTACCCTTTAATATTAGCCCATATATTTATACATTTTAAACTAGAATTAGTCAAGGGGTAAAATTTTTTAAAAGGAATAACTTTAGTAATCAGGTACTTAAGAAGATAGAATTTGTAATTTTCTCGATTATTTTAATTCTGATTCATTGACGAAAATTTTGTAAGAGAACCATTGGTGAAAATTTTTTAAATTCAAATTAAAAAATACTTTAACAGAATCAGAATCATAAATGTAAATATATTATCAAACTGGCCTTAAATTATCTCCATTAAAACCTTCTGTGTCTCTCGATTTCTCTCTCTCCCAAATCTCTTCTCACTAAGATCTTTACAAGGCTACAATTACTACTCTTTTTTAAATATATATATATATATATATATACACATGACTTTTTACTAAATTATATCTTTCTAACTCATTTCTTGTCTACTTTCTAATTAATGCTTTTTAAAAAATTTCTATTAGCTTTTTTTTATTATTATTTGGTTTTCATACTTACATGGCTTACGACTACTATATATCTAATAAAATATATGCATTGGGGTATGAAGGGATAAAAACGAAAACAAATAATACCATAATTTTTTTTAAAGTAAATATGACAATTTCATTAAAAGGCCATATCAAATACGAAAATATTTGTATTTTTATGAAATACAAATATTGTAATGATTTAATAAAAAATTAAAAAAATCAACTAAGTAATTAAATACTAAATTTGTCATATAAATTTACTATTAAATATAAAATATGATAAATTTAATACAAAAAATAGCACTACTCAAATGTAAAAATTTAGAGGATATTTAGTATGATGATTCACGTTATAGTTTAAATCGTGACTCACTATAGTATTTTCTCTTATAAAAAACACACGTAAATTAAAAATAATTTTGAATCGTAATTTTAAATTCGTAAACCAAACGTTCACTTTGACTCATCTTCAAAGGTTACCTTGCAGACGCTTTAGCACACGATTCAAAGGTTAACCCACGACTAACCTTCTGCACATCATAGAGTATTCACAACATCTTTTACTACCCAATTTGAACATCAATTCCTTTTGACTCATCTTCTCCACCACCAAAAATAGACCTTTTGCCGGCATTCGAGAGAACGATTTCTCGTTAAGACAAAACAACTTCATAATGATCAAAACGGAGCTTAATTCTCTTGTTGGGTTCCGTAATGTGAGCTGGATTTGATAGCATGACTTGTTATGATCAGGTTGAAGTTGGAGAGAGTCACGAGAGAGGTGTGGCTTAAAGAGAATCCATGAAATCGAGATGAAAATCATGATAAGGAGGAATATCGCGAACAAAATGAAGATCAGACAGTAAAGAATTACGCTATATCTTCGCGGGTTAGCTGGATTAGGTAGTTGGGGAAATAATGCTGGAGGAATCATAAGTTGGGTTACCATTAGGCTGTAATTATTTTTTTGTATGAAAATGAAAATGAAAACGTTTTCAATCTCAGACATAAATCATTTTTAAAAATGCGTTTAATAGTTTTATCAAAGAGATTGTTTTCAGTGTACAAAAAACCCATTAATGTCTCTCGTTCTCTCTTTGCTCGAGAGAAGAGAAAATGTTAAAACTATTGTTGGCCCATCTCTCACAAGTTCGAGCTTTTGAGATGCAGTGGTTTCCCAACAGTGTCTTAATATGGTATCAGAGCCAGAGGTCGTGTGTTCGATCCTCCGTGCACTCTTCTTCCTCCCTTAAATCATCACGTGTGTGTCCCACACGTGAGGGGGAGTGTTAAAACTATTGTTGGCCCATCTCTCACAAGTCGAGCTTTTGAGATGCAGTGGTTTCCCAACAGTGTCTTAATAGAAAACGAAAATAAAAAATAAAAACGACTAAAAGTCATTTTTTATTTCTCTCTCATTTTACACTAAACTAAAAAATCGTTTTCATTTCTGGTTTTTCTCTTTATTGAGCCAAACGTCGTTTTATAAACGTTTTTATTTTTTCTTTCTCAAAAAACGTGAAAAACAAAAACAGAATCCATTCACCAGGCCCGGCCCAACTATCCCAGGGCAGAATGACGCAACAAGCCAAATGTTACAGGGGCTTGGGGTGCCTCACCGTTCAGGAACAGGATGAGGTGGTAGCACTTGGTGTGAGTGCGCTAATAAACCAACCCATTTGATAATAAAAGTTCCCTATCGAGTGTACGCTTTCGGTTAAGTGAAGGGATAGAGCGAACTAGTCTCGCCCAGTGGGAAGTAATGAGGCTAGTCTCCCCCCCTGAATGAAGAAGTAGTGGGGCCCCCTTCCCGCATATGCGCCTTTATTTAGATTCTTTCTTTCTTTTTTGGCAATCTTTCTAAAATAAAAAAATATCTCTGGCCGTCGAAGGGATAAAAAAGAAAGAAGAGAAAGAAAGGGAAGTTTTGTCTTTCTTTCAATCCAAATAAACGGCCATCGTTTTGTTTGTCAAGGTGAGAGATGAAGTGAAATAAGTACACGGCCATCGTTTTCTTTATTTGAAACGGAAACAACGTACATAGAGTGAGGTACGCATGCACAAGCCATGAAGCCAATATCAATATGCCAAACCACGTACATATTGGTAGTAGCTAGAAAAACGTACGTATCCCCAAAGCCATGAAGCCAATATGTCAAACCACTTATTGGTAGTAGCTATCACTGCATGTAATGGCGGCTGAGAAATGAACATTGTCAAAGGGTATTGTAATTATTGCAATAATCTGCAGTATTCTGACATGATAAACGCGCAAATATTTAAGGAAAACGCTCAAGCACTCCACGAAGGCTCAGCTCCGCAAGGCACTCACCGCTGTGCCTTGCGGAGCTGGGGCTTGGCGGAGTCTAACAGCAACGCTCATTTATGCCACTAGCATATATATATAGATTAAGTGGTCCATTTTTCATGTAATTAAAACTATTGTTGAACAAGGTACGTACTCAGCAATATTAACATGACAAATACTAATCAGTACTGCATTTCAATATGGAAAATATATAATCAGTATAATTTATATCGCAATTCAATATGTGACTCGTTCTCTCTTTTCTTTTTTCTTTTTTTTCTTATTTGGTAAGAAGAATTATTATCACATTAATTGATATACACAAATTTAATTTTGGAGATTCTATTATTATTGATTTGGTCAGACTACTGTATTTATGGAGGCTTTAAAGTGTAAATGATGTGAAATATACAATTTGATATGTCAACATATCAAAGTTCATTTTATTTATGATGCTTCAGTAACATTATATGCCCACCTTTTTATCTATTTAGCCAGTCCGTTACAATTGATTTGATCTGATTATAGAATCCACCCTCTTAAACTATCTTGTATGTAGCAAATATGCGACAAATTCAGAAGTCAAACTAACGCGGTGATGGAGACAAGAGGACGGGCTTAAAGAACATAGACCTAGGCCTCGTTCATTTCACTGATTCGAGTTTAAAATTTGAGTTTTACTACAGTAAAAAGCTCTAAAAAACAGTCACATCTAACTTTTTTGCTATAGTAAAAAGATCTTATATAAAATCACATCTCAACTCGAATTAAAAACTCGAATCAGCGAATTAAACGAGCCCTTAAAAAGTGCAAGACCAATATATGATCAATTGACAACCTTTATATCATAAGTTAGACCAATACGTCAATGTCTATATCTGTTACTAAAAATTATAAAAAAATACATGTTTGATGTGCTACTTTATTTTGTACTTTAATGCATAATGTTAATTCAAATGTTATATTTATTTTTTGTCATAATTATTAAGCTTATTAAAACTCATAAAAGGAAACTTTATATATCAATAAAAAGAACAATATTTTGTAATGACTAGCAATTAAATGTCAAATTTATAATTTGACTTTTACTTGGTGGTAAATTTGTCAATAATCAGTTGGAGTTTTTCTTTATCGTGATCGCTGACAAAGTAGTGTGGAAAGGGTTAATGTGCTTCAAAACCAGTTTTTCTTTTTTACCTCTGCCGATGATTTCTCTTCAGGTTAATATGGAAGTTTAAAGTCGATTCTCCTTTAGCTTGAAAAGTTAGACTAATAACTATGTCCACATCTTATCTTGATGGAACAAAAGTATTAGCTTTTCCATTTAAAGTTTCAGATCTTCATATGCCAAATAAGTAGGTATCTATTCTTTTACCAAATATATCTTGCACTTCCCCTGAAGAAAATATAAATGTGTATATATATATATATAACCGAAACCTACATGAAACATTGACGTTTAGTTCATAGATTCAGAACTATAATTTAGAATTATTCTCGTTTTACGTGTGTTTTTTTGTGAGAAAATACTATAACGAATCACGAACCATTATTCGAATCATAGCACGAATCTCCCTTCCAAACGTCCTTTTGTTAGATAGTAGTAGTCGTTTTGTGCTCTTTTTGGAAAGAAAAAGAGTAGAGCCTTAATCAAGGTTTTCCATTTAAAGTTTCAGATCTTCATATGCCAAATAAGTACGTATCTATTCTTTTACCAAATATATCTTGCCCTTCCCTGAAGAAAATATAAATATGTGTGTATACATATATATATATATATA